CAACCAGCAATAGCAGCCCCAAGTGGAAAGCAGATTTATTAAATGTTGTTTCCCTAACATGTTATGGCCAGCCACTTTCAGAAGCCAGAACACTGTACTTCCAATTAGTATTCCAAAGAGTGATCTCTTGATCAGCGGCATCAGCACCACTTGAGAACTTGTTAGAAATGCAAAATCTAAAGTTCCCCTCCAGACATACTGTTATGTGGTTTTCCTATATTATTTCAGAATATGAAATTCTATTATAGAGGTAAACAAAACAAATGGGATGGATGAAACACCTAAGAAGTGATAATCATAGATGGTAAATAAACTAATAACTTGTAAAACAGAAGCGACACTCAGGCTGGGCTAAGTATTGATAATGAGAATGCAAGCTGGTGAAATGAAGGCAGTCAAGAGATGTGTAATAAACAGGTAAGCTGGTAGTAAGACGTGGCAACAATAAAATAAACAAATTATGATAGAACAAATGAGGTTTACTTATAAACAAAATGCAATGGAAATACCAAGTCACCATTATACCTGGACTGACAGCTACATTATTTCCATATCAGCCATCTACTGTGGACACTGAGGATGGTCCCATGGCTCATCAGCAGGTGAACTAGCAAAGCTATGGCAGTACCTAAGTTTATTTGCCACATCTCTTCAATAGAACAAGTTTGTATCACTGACCCAGGAAATCATTAGGCTATGGAGTGTTGGCTCAAATATCAACTCTGGTCCTCATAATCACATTCTTAATGTGGAAGGGTTATGTGAAAGAAAGATGGGAAATAGGAACATTGTTTACCCAGGACACAGGTGGTGTGATCCTTCCAACCTGGTTTGAACCTTAAGTGTGTTAACTTACTCTATAGCTTTTCTCTTGCTTCTGGATTTGTGTTTAACCAGTTTGGTAAATATGTGATTCAAGCATTTTAATTTGTTTGCTGAGTCCTTCTATTTCTAACCTCTGAGATAGCTTGCCTGGTAGTGTACTTGGAGGCCCAACCATTGCATCAAGGTAATTTCCCACAGAATACCTACTGAATCAGAATCTGCAAGCTAACAATATCTCCCAAGTGATTCATATACATACTAAAGTTTAAGAAGCACTGACAAAACTGTTATAAAGGGTTTGCCTCCACAAAGACAAAAAGTTGGATCTCAACAGAACTATTCTCTGAAAACCATACTGAACAAAAAATCTGCATACATCCATGAACTCCCTGACAATGACTTGGAGCCCCAAAAGAGGGAGAGAATACAGGAAGATCCATTTTCAACAAATATCATGTAAGGTTCAAAGAAGCACTGCTGCCCTTGCTGATTATTTGAACTCTAGTCCTGTAATGCTCCAAATGATTTGAGAAAACACTCAAAATATAGCACGATGTACCTCAATATTAACTCTGCTATGTCCTCCTGAACTGGGAGTTAGAACAATCTTTTTCAGATATGCTGTTTCAAGAATACCAATCCATTGTAACACAATAGTATTTGAGGGGTAAAAAAATATACCAATCCAAAGGATGTAAGAAACAGAAAGTCTGTGACTTCCTTAATGAGGTTGCAGCCACCTTAGAAAGATCATCAAATCACAGAGTTGGGAACAGTCTAAGAGCTTCCTTACTCAAAAGCATGGATTTGGGAACAGCCTGAGAGCTTCCTTAAGTGTACAGGTGGGCTGTACACTTCCCACCTACTAGAAGCACCTGACTTCATCAGCTCCTTATTTTATGTATTTGTTATATTTGCATTGTTCCTGACATATATTAGGGCTCCGTAAATGTTCTGAATTAGTAGAAAAAATGACGTCACCCTCTCTTGTTTGATTCATCTAAGACAAATTTACTTTAATTCAATCCTTTCATTTTGAAAAATTGCTGAGAACAAAGGCATAATTCCATCTCAAATTAGCATGGTTCATAATATTCTCCCATTCCATATCTCGAAGTTGAATTTTAATTTGCTAATATTTATCCCCTCCTAATATTTCATGACCCTGTGAACACATCAATCTTTCCAATAAGAAATAATTGTGTCTATAAAAGAGAGGAAAATCATACTATCTAATGGCCAGCAATATAGTCCGACCATTTTTAAAAGTCAGGATATATGTACAAGTACAAGATATATGCCACACAGGAAAGATCAACTATTATTTTGATATTTTCCTAAGACCAGATTTAAAACAACTTATGGAAATGTCTCCATAAAACATCTATAAAAAGAACTGAAGTAGTCACTGAGGACAATATTACATATACAAAGATGATAAATAGGATCTGTAACAAAAAACCAAAGGTGCTGGAAATTGTTAACCTAGTAAAGAATAAAGTGGCAGTCAGGAAAAGAATGTAAAAGTTCTAAAAGTCATTCATTTAAAAAATATATTCCCTATTGCTTCTTTAAGAGGCAGTACGTTTAAGTTTCAAAGGAAAAGATTTAGGTTTGGAATTATAACTTTCCATTCCATAATTAAAATTTTATAAAAAAAATAAACACAGATAGAAAATGGTTGCATGTATTCCTTTCCAAATAATCTATCCAATCCCTTTCACTCTATGCATTTAGTACAACCAAATGCCATTAAACGACTCACAGGACACTAAACACTTTGGCATAGTTTTTATACTCTGTTTTATGGGTTTTAAATACAATGTGTTTAAGAATGGACTCTATAAATTCACAGAGGAAATGGGTAACCTTGCAGCTTTGTGTCTTCTTCAGCTATAAGCATGAGAGAACATAAATGATAAGCCTTCAATAAATACTTTTTGGATCTAATTAGGTATTACCACCCTCTGAGGCAAAAAAAAAAGTCTTAACTGGAGAATAACCTAAACACTATGATCACCACCAAGACCAGTAGAAAGCAGCTCTCAAATTTTCCAAGTGAATCCACTTACTTGCATACTAAACGATGGAAGGATCAAGAAAGAGTAATTGTCTTATTCATTACAAACGGCTAAGAATGAATCTTCTGTTTGCAAACTTAATCCACTCCAACTAGTCCTGTTAACTGCCCAATAAAATGAAATACATTATCTTTGTTTCACAAATCTTATGCTTGATCTAATTTGTTTCACAAATCTTATTCTTGATGAAATGTGTTAAACGTAGGTAATCTGTTTCATTCTTTGCTATATGAAATTGTCTCTTTATTATATGAATATTCAGAGGCAAAATGCTGATTGTTATAAGCAATCATAGCAAAAATTACTTGAACTTCAAAATATCATTCCCAAAAGCTGGTTGTTCACATATAAACAGAAATATTTCAATGATAAATCCTTTAAAGTCTATTAAACCTACTACTGTACAGTTATGTTTTGCACAGCACAGGACCAAAATACAGGGCTGGTGTCCCACCTGGCTGAGTGGGTGGTGTTCCCCTTGATAAATTTTCATAAGCTGCTATCTCCCGTATTAAAAAGTTAGTCACCAGGTTTAACAAACTCCCTGAAGAGTTCATTTCAGTTATTCCTGCCTTTCTCGGTGTGAAACAATTTAATCTTATTGCTTTCTTCCCAAGGGGTAGAAAGGTGATGTTCAAAAAGGATGTGAAAGACAAAGTTTAAGAGCTCACTGGATAGGCTTGCAGTGAGGCACCTTTAAAGACAGTCTAGAATAGGGCAGTGGGGGGTTGGGGGGGGCAGGAAGGCAGAAGGAGATAGAGAATCACAAGGAAGGTGGTAAAGCACTGCAAAGAAACTTAGTTTCAAACTGGATTGACATCTGCAGCTTATTTTAAACCACAGCTTAACTTAAGGTGACCCATTCTGACCCAGAACTTCTGCTTTACACTAATAAAATGAAGGTTTGCCTGCTAACATCTGTAAATAATTTCATAGATTATTACTTTATTTCAGAATAGTATTTCATAATAGAACAACGTCAGATTTCTCTTTAAATATTTCTAGGTAAATTTATGTTTCACAGCCTTATATGGAAAATCCTAAAATGAAAATAACAACAGTGATTTTAGATTTTGAGAAAATATACAGAAATATATAAAATCCCAAGTCTATCATTTACACACACTGTGTAAGCTTGAAGCCCCTAGAATGTGGTCTAAAACTACACGTTCTGCCACCATAACCTTCCAGATTCCCCAAGGAGAGCATGCCAGAATCTCAGGACTGAGCTGTGGGCAAGCGCACTTTGAAAAAGCACCCCAGGAGATTCTGATATTCAACCAACCTCCTCCTGCCCCTATTGCCATTATCCACTAATAACATTCTACCACCCACTGCTGATGTACTTTGTGCTATTCTTCTATACCAAATGTTAACTAAGTGAAGTCATTAGAGCATGTGAATTCAATTGGCATTTATCCAGTTTTTATGAGGTAAAAATAAATTCATAAATGGCAAATCAATGTTATTTCTTTCACAAAATTTCATTTTAAAACTACATCACAAATTTTGAACTCAAAGCTGTCTACATTCAAAGCTTTTCAAAGCATTTTAGTCAGCTAATATATTTCCATGAATTAAATTTTCACCACCAAGTAGCAGTACCCCCCAAAAAAGTTCCTTAAACTTAAGGAATAACTCAGATTTCTTAGGCAAGTAGAGTATTATTTCCAGATTACCATAACTCTCCCATTGCACATTATACTTCATACCTTACAGTGTGTATATTCAAAAAATATTATTTATGAATAATTTCAGGTAAAACTAGTTTAAGTAATTACATTTCAAACTAACACTCCAGGTTTTCAGTACTCACATTACTCATACTCCAGTTCACTGGAATGTATCTCACAATCCCCAAACTTCTTCAACTTTAATATTACTCACTATTGGTGTAAGCCATTACAAAGCACATTTAAGAAATTTAATTGACATCTCTCAAATTCCAAACTTTTAAAATCAACTGACCACAGGTGTATAACAACAATCTTGAATCCCTTACAAAAACTCCTACTAGCTGACAAGTCTATTCTACATACTATTAGGCCCTAGTACTAAAAACAAACAGAAAACGAAATGAGAAAACACACTTACCTTAATAGGGGCACTACTAAACTTAATTTTCCTATTTGCTGGGATTTCTTCTTCTTCTGGCAATCCAACGATTTCCGAGTATTCCATATCAGGCTGATAGTAATTGTTCTCATCACTATCTTCCTCCTCATCCTGCTCAGTGCCTGTCTCTCCCCAGTCAGAATTATACCTGGATCTCACCCTATACACATTATAGTCACTGTGCATGTACACATGGGAACTATCAAAATTATTTGAATCTTCAGGTACTTCTTTTCCACAACTGGATGCAGAAGCATCAGGAGAGGTGAAATCACCACCTGCAAGTTCTTTCCTCTGCTGCTTTGCTGCCTCACTTCCAACCAAATTAGCTTCAGCATCTTCTAATGGTTGACTCTGTGGTGAAGGGATTTCAGACTTTGGCATTGCCTTACTTTCAGCACAAGGTTCTTCAGCACTGCCTTTGTCAATGCTATCGGGAGTCTGTTGGTTAGTTGCAGCGTCCTCAGTTTCCTTTCTCTGCTGGATCTCTTCACCAGGTATCAAAGCTAGAGAGGTACTTTTAGAAGCCACTTCTGGTACTGGAGTTGTATTACTTTTGTGAGCATCCTCTGTATCAACACCTTGCTTGTTTGAAGACCAGGAATTAGAATCCTTAAGGTGGCAAAAGGTGTCAAGATTTGTAACAGTAACAGATGGTAAATTCAAGGGATAATGCCCAGTCACTGAGTATTCACTGTTTTCAGCCTTCTCGGAAATGATGGCACTGGGAGAATCAGTGTTCTCAAATACTGCACTCAGTTGACTCACAGTTGGGGAGACAGCCTCAGTCCGGGAGCTAAGGCTGTCCAAGGAATCAGTACTGCCTCTGTTGGACTTGGAACCTCCCCATTCATCCTGAGGTTCACTCCCTCCAGCTTTCTCCTTCTTTGGGGAATAGCGGTTGTTCTGTCCTGATTCATGCACACTTCTCTCAAACATCTTTCGAGTCTCAGTGAACTTGGAATATGAAGGGCCATCGTACATTGTGTCAAATCTACTAATTCGTTCAGAAACAGAGGACTCCAACTTAAAAACTGAGCCATCTGTTTTCTCCAGAAATTCTTTGGGCTTCATTCTTCTCTGAGGAGATGAATGTCCACCTTTCCCCCTTGTTTTGGCAGTGACAGCAGCATTCTCGTTGGGTTCCATACCCATCTGCATAAATAGGTTTTTAATTCTGTTGACATTAGAGCCATATTTCCTCCCCCTGCTCTGCTGGGAGCCCTCACCTTCTTTTGTTTTTTGTTCCCCATCTGACTTGGGTTTGTCAAAGGTACTTTTCAGTGCCTGGAACTCAGTTCGATATGCATTCCTGTGAGGAGAGGCACTTCTGAGAGTGGTTCGTTCACCGGAAGACTCAGTTTTCAACATTTTCACTTCAGGGGTGAAAAGCCAATGTTCATAATGATCAGAGAAAAAAAACAAAAACCAAGATACCTCTCTTCTTTAATAACCAGTATTGGGTCAAAAAAAGTACCTCTCAAACGGTATACTGTGTCAGAGATCGTTCCAACAGGTGTATTAGGAACTTAGTCACAGTCAAGAGTTACACAAAATGTTTTTTTTTTCAAAGCAAAACTAGGGGTTCATCTGCAATAGAAAAGAATGAATTTCTGAATTCATTTACTTATTTCAATTTATATCTAGTCAAGTAATACATAATTTATTTTCCAAATGGCTTAGCTACGTGTCAAACAGAAGAGATTACTCATTGAAATGGGAAGTTAAAAGTCAATAAATTATCATTCTGATTGGTCTTTGGTAAAAAAGGTTTCAAATACATTTTGGAGATCCCTATCAAAATCTCTCTCTCTCTCTCTCTCTCTCACACACACACACACACAAAGTTACACATAAGCAATACTTTAAACCCACGTTTGGTCGCTTTTGTGAATACCCTTAAAAGAAACCAGCAGTTCATCAATCTTTAAGAAATCATCAAACTGTCCAGAAAATCAACTTCACTTAGGATTCTCCACAATCAAGTAGAACTTATTCTTTCTAAGCACAATTAAGTTTGGAATCTGTTTACAAACTCTAAAACATGCCTACAGAGGCTTATTTCACTTTTTCTGCTCCAATATTCTCATCTACAGCATCTCCAAAACAATACTAATGTAATTTCAGACCAAAACAAGGAGAAAAAAAGTTCCTGAATGGCAATAAGTTTCACTCTAAGTTCAGTTATAACAAGTATTTGGAAGTTTCCTAACAGTGGTTATTAATTATGGAGTGGGATGCAGACTACCATGGGAATAAACGCATAAGAATGTGACAATCAGAAAGCAAATATACTGTGACATCTCTTTCCACAGCCTTGATTTGTTTATTCTTTCTTGCCTCTAACTTACTACAGTTCAAAACGCAATGCATGTTTGCTGGTCTCCTTTAGCCCACAGCAGGATTGTACATCAATCAGCCAGCAGCCAAATACCTCAAAATACGCTGCGGAGCAGACAATCTAAAGATTTTTCATTTTGTTTTTGTTTTGTTTTGATATTAGACCTAGCCACATCACCTTCACGCACAATCAGCTGAGGAGGCACACACTTTCACTTAAACCGTCTCCAAACTCGGCTCCTGGCCCAGCGCGCATGCATGGCCCATGCAGACAAACAAGAAAGGCTTTGGAGTGTGGTGCCTGTCTTTTCTTTTTTTGTAAAGCATCGACAATTTCCTTTTACCCTGACCATTCTTTTCAAAGCCACAAACACCCTCCCCTCTCCCCTACACACACACCCCATTCCCTCCCCCGCCAATTCCAACCCAAGGAGGCGGGGGCGGAGGCGATGGAGCCGCCGGGGGATTCAAAACCTGCCCTCACAAAAGACAAACATAAATAACACCAACTTGAGAGGCAGCCGATTCCCAAGCCCGGTTCGGGACGCAATCCCTCGACCCTGGGGCAGGACCGGGAGAGCAGGTGACGCCAAGCGCTATGGTAGGAGGTCGCAGTCTAGCTTTGTGCCAAGAAGCACCTGAAGTCCTAACACATTGGCTGCGGCTACCAGCGGCTGCCAGGCGGATCCCTGTGTGGCAGGGAGAGAGACGAGCTCCCTGGCCACATTAAAAAAAAAAAAAGAGAGAGAGAGAGAAAGAAAAAGAAATTACAGGGTAATGAAAATAAATCCCTTTGTTTTTCCTCCCAATGTGCCAGGAAACAATAGATCCCACTGATAATGCCTCTGATCTTCAACCTATTGCTCCTCCACCACCACCCACCCCCACCCTCAGCCTGCAACTCAGCCTTTGTACAAGCCGATTTTTTCCTCCTCTCCACCCTCCCAACTCCTCGCCTCGCGCACAGCCTCCCCCTTACCCGAGCGGGAGCGCCGCGGGCGGGGAGGGTCGGGCCGCCACGGCTCCCACCCCCTCCTCGCAGGCGCCCCCCGCCCCACGGTGGCCGCGGCGACTCGGCTCGGCGCTGGCCCGCTGGGTGCCCCGCCACCCGTTCCTCACGGCGCAGCGCGCAGGGCTGCTGCGGCGGCCGCTTCCACTCGCGCCTTGGCCCCCACTCGCTCCCTTCCCGCGGCGGGCGGCCCCGGGAGGCAAGCTGCGCTCCCCAACGCCATTGCGGGCGGGCGGCGGCCCGGGCAGCTACGCGCGCGCACGCTTGGGCCGGCCTGGGGCCACGGGTGCCGGCCGTGAAAGGGGTTTGGGCCACGTGTGGTCGCCACGCCACGCCGTTTGGGCAGCTAGGGAGGCTGCGGTGTCATGGAGGAGAGACCGCGGGGATGAGGAAGGCCAGGGGTAACAGGTGCCTCACCTCGGCTGATGGGATTAACTCTAGGGCCGCAGAGAGAGGGAGCCCGGCAGCAAAATCCCGGGAGAGGGAGAGAGAGGGAGCCTCTGGCGGCCAAGTAAGGGCGAAAAGCACCGGCCCGAGGCGAGGCCGCCCCACCCCCTCGGCCGTGGGCTAGGGGCCTCTCCGGCCTAGGGGCAAGGCCGGCTTCCGGTTCGGGTATTGGCTCTGGAACTGGGTTCTGAGGGGAACAGCTGCCAGGGGCCTCACTTAGTCTGCAGTTAACTCCGTGACCCCAAGGTATCCAAATCCCAGGCCACTCTGCTGGCCAGGAAGGCCAAGACATAGGCCCAAGTCTAGAGTGGCCTTCACCTAAGCCACTGTGCCTGGTCTGCTACTCACCTTGACCTTAAGGTCCCACTGCCAAAGAGAAAGGGATGAGGAGGTCTTCTGCCTTTTCTGTCTAGGGAGAGTTTTTCAGCCCACGCCCCCCACCCCCGCCCTTTTCTAAACACTTAGTACACCCTCTTCCACCCCCAAATACCGGAAGTGTTACCACCTTCCTGCAAAATATAAAACTGATCATGACTGTCAATACAGATCTTTAAACCAATCCTTCCAAAAAGCCTGAGGAGCAGGAACCCTTAAAAATTTTCAAGAAGGTAAAAACATGTCAATGGAAGAAATATAAGATGAACATGGGTCAAAATTTTTACAGCTCTTAGTTAGAAAGGGAACCTCAGCAAGATACTACAACCCATTCATGTGAGACTGTGAAGAATAAACATATAGGCAAGAAGAGGCAAAGCTGCTTAATATTCTATAGAGCAGTAAAATGTTTATTATCTGCTTTACAGGGCGGTAACCAGTTGTATCTCTAAAGTAACTAAATAAATTTGCATTCTGTAGATAATATTCATTTACATATTACCAAACGATTCTACAGCTTACTGAGTAGTAAAATAGCCTAGAGAAAGTCACTCTAAGGTACAGACTACTTTAAATTCACAACACTCTGGAGCCCTGTGGATAAGATCCAGCATTCCATTGAAAGGACAAACAGTAATCTTTTGCTCATTTCAATGTCTTTCACAAGTTTTCCCAACATAACTATTTTTAACACCATTTCACTGACGGATAAACTAAGGTTTAAATTTTATAACGTATCCACTTCTCTATTAGCTATTAATAGTGAATAATTATGGCTGGATATGAACCTTGGCAAGTCCGTACACAGATTCTATATAATCTGGTAGCAAAATCTTTTTATTTCAAAAGGATTTTGTAGCTACTCAATACTCAATTCTATGTATTTTTTTAATTTTAAACAGTGAGGGCTTATTTTTTCTTTAAGCGTCACCAAATTCTGGGTCCTTTCCCAAGAAACTGGCATTCTCTGTCTATGAAGAGGATGTCACTTCTATAAGCATAAACAGATGTAACAGGCAATGTGAGGGGGTTGTGGTTCCAGGCTCCACTTTTGGAAAGAACATTTGTGCTGTCTGGGATAATCTAGTGGAAAAGTTCTTGTCATTTATTTGCAGTATGGAAACCAGGTTTTTTAGGCAAATAACCTAAATAAATGCAGAATCTAATCACTGAGTTCTGTCTGTAGAAGAGGGGGCAGAGTTGGCAATAAAATCAGTCTTACACCTCTTTGCAAAAAGATGATTCATGCAGAAAAGCAGCCTAAAGGATTTGGTTGGTTTGGGTTTTATCATTTGAAAGTTCTGGAAAAATTCATACTGAAGGAATGATAGAGTTTTAAACACAACGTTGAGAATTTAAGATTCCTAGATTGCCTATAATGGACCTTGCATTTCCAACACTTGAATGTTTGAAGGGTCTATTAGACCTGTGCTAATCCAATACATGCAGCTATTTAAATTAATTAAAATTAAATACAATTTAAAATTCAGTTCCTTAGTCATACAAGCCACATTTGAAAGACTTGATGGCTACATGTGGTTAGTGGCTACTCTGTTGGTCAGTGTAGATACATATTTCCATCACAGAAATTTCTATCCAACAGTATTGTTCTAGACAACATTTGCACTTTTATGAACTTCATAGGGTTAACTTAGTGCAATAGATCATTAATGTATTAGAGATTAGAGGTCATAAATTTTATATGTTCCAACTGGAAAGGTGGTAAAAAGTGTGAAAAGCGAACTTCATTAGTGGCATGCAAAGAATCCAAAATGTGTTTGGGGTGGGGGAGTTCTCAATTTTCATATATGATACCTTAACCTTTCATAATTCACATAGACTGTAATGGACTGTTATTTTCATTCCTTTTGCATCCAATAATACCATGATTGGTAAGACCACAATGTTGGAGGATAAAAAGCACAGAATATATTTTACATTATTTTAAGGGTTTTCTCAATGTATTTTTTAAGTTTTCGTGATGGACATTCTAAGCAACTATTCAAAGAATTAAGTTATTCATGTGTGTACATGAACCACTGGGTACAGCTGTGAAATTAAGCTAAACTAAGCCTGAATCAAATTTTAAGACTAGGGAAAACTGACTAAGCTGGTACTGAGGACTGCTCATCACACCTTCATTTCTAGCAGAAAGATACCTAGCTGGTTGCATGCTAATGGCTGTTCCTGAAGGGAGAGAAAAGACCAGAACAAACTGAAAGGTCTCTAGATTGAACTTCATTATGGAGAAGGCAAAGTAATGCGAGAGCGATTCCTGTAGGTAATTTTAGACATAATTTTAGCATAAAAAGACATGTTATTCATACCACTGTTTTCTTACTGATATGCATAATGTTTTGATAGTGCTGAGCAGCTTTTTAATTAAGTTATAACTGCTTATTTCACATTTGTAAGTATCACAGAATGCTTTGTTGACTTCAGTCTTGAATGTTGATATTAAATTTTCTTAAAGGTCTATCTCTTTAAAATAAATACCTATATTTGAGGATAAAAGTTTAAGTTTATTTTTGAGTCTTATTAGTATTTCACATAAACTCCATCATACAGGTAGGTAGAATATATTTTTCTAAAATAATCCTCAGGTTCACATTCAGAATTATGATATCTATGATCAGTCTTATATTATGATGTTAGCTATAAAATTAAGATTAAAGGTATCATTTCTACTCCATTAAATAAATAATGATTCAGCATGGCTTTCTACCTATACTTATGGCTTGGGCATGCCACTGAAAATTTAAACCATCATTTCTGTCCATTTCCCATTCTACAAGAATTTTGGCTTTTCAGCTTAAAAAGTTTATGGTAAGTTTAAGTATTTACTTTTATTTGCCATGAGTAATGAACTGTAGAAATTCCTGGGATTCCTTAAGGTCATTTATAAGTTATTATTAATATCTTCTCTCTACAAATAAACCATGATAAATTTTCACAGTATGTTTAGGCTAATGTGATGCAACTTCTCTTTCTTCCCTATTATTACTTTATTTGTCCACCCACATAAAACACAGAAAAACAAGAGTTTTATTGGACTAGACATTGGTATGTTTTCAATACTGTTGCTGCTTCTGAGGTTGCAACAACAGCTGTTATAACCATTTTTAGTTTTCAGTTTTATAGTGGTGCATGTTACACTTTTAAAAACAAGTATGAAACGTTTATTTGTTTCTACAGAAGCTCATTTTCCGTTCAACAGATTAGCCCCTCTAGTGGGACTCTAGTTGTGGTTTTCTGTCTGCAAATCCTCCACTTACTGGTTGCACCTGAACTCAGATTGGCATGTTGCTGGTCCTACTTCAAATTAATTTATTCAGAATTTATTATTTCAAAGTAGATTCTATTCCATATTATATTGAAGTAGCTCTATTCCATAGCATTAACCTTGGTGAATTAACGATTAAAGTAAATAAATAAGCATCCATGTTTGCCTACAATAAAACAGGAGATTTCTGTTACTTTATTTCCATTTCCAATCTAGTTCTAATAATAAATCTTCTTAATGAGGTCCACAATAGTCCCATTTTATACAAAATTTACATTGTAACAATGCATTTTAAGAAAATCATAGTATTTAATCTGTGTATGAAATCATCAGCTTTTAGAAATAATTCAATGATAAATTTGCTCTGAAGTTACTAGTATATTTTTCATAGGTTCTTAAACAGCCACAATCCAGATGCTCATTTAGCATAGTAATTTATTGCCATTACTTTAACACATTGTTTCAAATTAAGTTTGAAAATGTATCATAATCCCTTAAATTGTTTGTACACCACTAAATTTCTCAATTGGATCAGTAATGGACAAGTACTTACCCCATCAGAGAGGGCAGATCTTGAGCAGCTAGCATGGTCATTCTTGTCCCTGGACAGTACTCAACATCATGATTGCATCTGGAAATGTTGTGTGTCTTAGACTTTTCTTGAGTAAGTGATACTAAAGAGTCATAATCACTTAACTAGCATGTTTGATTAGATTATAAATCTATGGATGGATCACATACTTTAGAAATGCCTTATTGGCATTATTAGAAGAAAAAAATTTTCAATTGTAACATTTCAGATATCTAAAAATATATTTATATCAACAAGATGAAATAAACAGTCTGGAAAATCTTGTGTCTGAATCCTGTTATTGCTTTTTTTAATTGAACAAAACACTGTTACATTTAAGTTGCTCTTTGGCATGGAATTCTCTGAGCACAGCAATACCCAACACAAAGTGAATGATGCCCTAACAATTATTTGGTGAACATGGATGTTTCA